GCGTCGAAGGCTGCGAGCAGTGTATGGGAATCTTGGAGGAGCTGGAAAACATCGACGATGACTGCGACAGACACGGAATTACTTTCGTCAAGACTCAAGTGAGTTGTGGAGATGTTTCATTTAAGAGGGCAGATCCTTAAAACTAGAACTACCGGACGAGTCAAAATGATCCATCATAAATTTCTACTTTCACAGTTTTCAAAGAGATACGCGCGGTTTTCAGGGAATATTTTTGGTAAATCGGTTCAGTGGTATGCATTCTGATGTGTAAATCAATGAAAATTTTAGTAAATGCATTTTCTATTGTTTCTGTAAGAAAATATATATTAGGCAATTTGATTGCTCGGTAGTTCTAGTGTTAAAATAATGATACCCATAAGAAGTTCCTTGAATTCGTTTGTTTCAGGACTACAAGGTGGCAGAAGATTACGGAGTCACTGAATTCCCCGTGGTAGTGTATTTCGAGAACCAAGTGCCTAGCATGTTCGAAGGTCTGTATCTTAGCGTAAATAGAAACAAAGCGAGCTAATCTTCTTCTATCATTTACTGAATATCTCGCATGCTTCTCTGTTTAGGCGATTTATCGGTGGAGGAAGAAGTTTTACAATGGCTAATCACGCAGAAAACCGAGGACAGAATCGAATTGATAACCAGAGTGATGCTGGAAACATCGGTCGAGGAGACTCAATACCTTGCAGTATATTTCTGTGAGACTTAAAGAATTTGGATCTTTTAATAATTCAACGTTGTTGCTCGCACTCGTCTGAAAAAATATTAAGTTATCGTTTTATGTCGTAGACAAACAACACTGTCACATATGCAACGAAATTTTAGAAGGATTGGAGAGAATCGACGACGAATGCGACGTTTTCGGCATTCACCTGGTCAAAATTCAGGATCCCCAGTTAGCCAAACGTTATTCGATTAAAACCTTTCCCGCGCTCGTTTATTTCAGAAATGGCAATCCTCTTCTATTCGAAGGTTCTTGTGAATGTTTTATGGATCAAGTGTCAGCGGAACATAGTTCAACCTGTGTATAACTTGTTCTGTTCGTCTCGTAGGTGATCTACAAAATGAAGAATCGGTTCTCGAGTGGCTGATCGACGACGACAACCGCGAACTGGCAGATGAAATTGAGTCTGTTAACGAAAGAATGTTGGAGAGACTCTTACACGAATCTCCATTCTTAGCGGTGTTCTTCTGTGAGTTCTATTTTACTTTAGATAACATAAGAATATTTTATTTTAGAAAGAAGTTCATATGATTATGCGCTTGTATTTTTGAACGTCATCTTTCTTTGCTGCTTGAAAAGTATTTCGATCATTTCTGAGACATCTCTTTTTTATCAATTTTTGATGACCCGACGTTTCATCGAACAAATCGATATACGTTTTATAGACGACGAAGATTGTCCCGAATGCGACGAGATCATGGAGGCCTTAGAAAAGATTGACGGCGAGGCTGACTTATTCGGAATCGACTTCGTGAAAGTCAATGGCCCCGACGCTGCCGAAAAATATGGAATCCTAAATGTCCCAGCCCTTGTCTATTTCCGCAAAAGAACACCATTGATCTATGACGGGGATTTAACGCAGGAGGATAAGATACTTCAATGGCTGACTTCTCAGGACGTTTTCGAAATTAAGAATGAAATTGAAGAAGTCAACAAAAAGATGTTGGACAAGCTACTCGACGAAAATGAATTCTTAGCAGTCTTCTTTTGTAAATAAATGTTTCGGTTACTTGTGAGCGTGTCGATGAAGACTTGTTTAATTAACGTCAAGTTCGTCGGTAATTTTTTTAGATGAGCATAACAACAAAGAAAGCAGGGATGTAAATGAAAAACTAGAGAACATCGATGGGGAGACGGACAACTTGGACATCACGTTCGTCAAGATGGCCGATCCGAGATATGCTAGGAAATGGGGCGTCACTAAACTTCCTGCCATCGTCTACTTCCGCAAAAGATTCCCCAGTATTTATCGAGGTATGTCCAGCCTGCTTTAGAATATTATTTAATTAAAACGAAGTACAGTGATGTTCCACTTAGATAAATTTGTCAAATTCATCTACTTAATACAGTGAAGAGTAAAGAGAATTCATTACTTTATGAACATCCAACTTACAATATTCTATCCATTGATATTATGGGTACATGTCATTAATTACTAAATAACGAATTTAAATTTCAATCTTATAATGGAACGATACAGTTTGTTGAAATATTTAATAAAAAAATTCAAGCGCTGAAGCTTGATAAGTCCTCCAGAGACACTGCAGCATTTTCTAGAATTAACACATATATTACACAATCTAAGATTTCTCAAATCTTGGTTAACTCTTTCTATTCCCAGCTGAAAAGAAACTCTTGGTAAGATATAAAATGCAAGCAGGTGACAAGAATAATAGTTGTCCGAGATATTGGTTCATAAGTTTCTGTTTCATTAAAACATAGTCCCTTAACTTTGATTATCGTGTGCTGGTTTATCAGTGAAGAACATTCATTTTTCCGATGTCATTCTACCTTCTATTGAATATATACATATGTATCTGAATTTGTCTTTCCCAAAGGCGACGTACACAACGAACAAAGCGTGCTCGAATGGCTGCGCAAGAATAGGTACCGTCAACCGGAGCTGAATATCTACATGTACATGCTGATCGTCATCACCGTCTTGTTCGCAATGTACACCGGCTTCCTCTTGTCGTGCTTCCGGTCGGAGCCAGCCGCACCAGCCGCGCATCCGAAACAAGCGTGAAAACTCGGACAGGAAAACGAGAGACGGTTAATGCAAGAAAAAAAAGGGAAGAGTACAGAGACTACGTGGACTGTTGCTGCGCGAATGTGCGTTATTGTTGTTGCTCCGACTTGTTTCACTTAACAAACGCCGTTCGTCCGGAACGAACGACACGATCAGAGGCTCGACGATTCGACAATGAAATCCGTCATTCTTGCGCGGCATCGATAAGCGCCATATTTCGCTAGCCAATGAACGAATATAAAAAGTAATACTTAGCTAACGCACCATGCCATATCAGGCTCGAGTCGTCTCTGAATTTCGTGGATCCCTTGCCCGGCGAGAGAACGGATCGGATAGGGATCAGAGCAGGTCACGGCTGCCGTGGCACGGTATGTAAATATATGTAAACGTGGACCAAATCCGTCGACCTTTCCAAAGAAGATTTAGACCTCTGTCAAATTAAGGAAGGATCTAGGGAGTTGAGGTATCTAAACAACGTGAGCGAAGGCGCGTTAGTGTTTAAGCTACCATCCGGTGCTAATACACTCGAGTCGCATCGTGTTCTAGGGAAATTATTGTTAAAACGTATTTATTATCTCGTTTGCTATATATTTTTATCGCGTTTAAATCTTTGTTTACTACAGGTTATTGTATTGCTTTGTTACGATCCACTGTAACCACTATTCCGACCACACTTTGTATTTCTTACGTAAGTGATACACGTACCAGGAATTCTTTGTTGTGTTTCTTCTTTTTCTTTTACTTCTTCTTTTACTTATTCTACTTCTATTTCTTCTACTTCTTCTACTTCTTCTACTTCTTTTACTTCTATTATTTCTTCTTCTTCTTCTACTTCTTCTACTTCTCTTCTTATGTTCCTTCATCTTCTGCTTTTTCTTATTCTTCTTCTTCTTCTTCTTCTTCTTCTTTTCTTTTTAGAGTGATTATAAACTGAATCGACGCACACCGGCGTACACTGTTGCGATTTAAGGAATGTTTGGTGGTCGATGATCATCGACGATCGTAATTTATAATCATTAATGGTTTTCGTACTTGTTTAGCGTGAACTATCGACTGTCGTCGATGATTTTGACAGTGGTCTTGCGCGCGGCCGATCATCTTTGGTCCACGTTCGCGGGGGGATGATCGAGACACAATCGTCGCGTTGATTCGCGTTTGTTTCCGTGGATCATCGCCGAGTTTTCGTTTAATGAACGGACAGGGTAAAGATCAATGACCAGTAAAACAATTGCCTGTTAGCGTATACCGGATTACGAGGAATTTATAAAAAAGAAAAAAACGAACCCTTTGGACCAATTCCAAACCTGTTTGAGCGCCACTTCCATCTGCCAATTGTAAATAATGTAATAGTGTGAACGATGCATTATATAAAACAAAATACGATGATTTTCCTTTACTTTTACGTTTCGCATTCGTTTCTTTCCTCCCGTCTGTTTCTCTAACAGGACTCCGCATAGATTTAGTTAACGAGAATTATTCGCGCGTACGCGTTATATTGGCTCCACTTTGGATACACTTCGTTGAATTAGGGACAGCGTTGTTATTACGCAGAATATGTATTTCTCGAAACATGTCTTTAAAAAGTAAATTAAATTTTCGAAATACATCTGGGATTATGTTAACATGCACGATGCGTGAATTCATTATCCCATCATTAAAGTATTATTAATTCGATTACCAATTGAAATACACACATGAAGGATGGAATACTTCGTTTAGATATGATAGAGTACGACGTAATGAGGTAACCGTAAATTTCAAATTTCCCGCTGTTACGCAAAATGGGGCTGACTTAAAGCCAACTTCAAAACAAACATTCGACTGCTCTGAAGTGCGCTGAGGTTGAGAATTTCTTTACTAGCGGAAGAATGGCGGATGCGTAAGTGTTGTTTGAGTCTGAAAGAAATCTAAAAACATCGCGTGTTATAGTGAACTTACAAGACTGAAACTACGTTATTATTAATTCTTATTATCTTGGCTATCGAATATATATTTTAGTTTCCGATCTTTTTACGAGAATGGAAAACTGTAACTTACTGCTGACAAGTCTTACTTTCGATCAACGTGAACAGAATGTAGTTAATATTTTATCACTAAACGCTAAGTAGATTTTATAAAAAAAAAGATATTTAATTTTAAATTGAACGAAGTTAAAATAATCTAATAGTTATTTTAAGAGAATATTATAATATGATATTTTGTTTCGCATTGTATAGGAAAACAGCTTAACCTAAGTTTTGTTTAACTGTCCCTTTTTTATTATACACACGCAACATGCATTTCATAATACATGTAAATATTTATACACAGGCAAAAAGAAACTGCCCCTTCGGCGAAAAAGCTGCCGGCAGTACCAGAGTCGGTACTTAAAAGGAGGAAAACCCGAGAAGCAGTTAAGGCTGCACGGCTTCAAATTTCTATTAAGGTAGTAGTTCAACTTCACTTAATAATGAAATTCTATCTTTTAATTTCTTTATCTTTGTAACTACTTACTCAAGGAACTTTCGTAATTTTTAGCAACGTGCAAACCGTTACAAGAAACGGAAGGAAATCTTCAAAAGGGCAGAAAAATATGTGAAAGAATATAGAACAAAGGAGAGAGATGAAATCAGATTAATAAGACAAGCCAAAAACCGTGGTAACTACTATATTCCCGGAGACGCACGTCTTGCCTTTGTTATTCGTATTCGAGGGTGAGTATAACTTATACTTCTACAGCAATTTATATTTAATTAACCTTCAGCATATGCAACTTAATTTAATAATTTCAGTGTGAACCAAGTTGCACCAAAAGTGCGCAAAGTACTTCAACTATTTCGCTTGAAGCAGATCAACAATGGTGTATTCGTAAAGTTAAATAAGGCAACCATTAACATGCTTCGTATTGTCGAACCTTATATCACATGGGGGTATCCTAATCTAAAGTCAGTTCGTGAACTGATTTACAAAAGAGGATTTGCCAAAATAAATAGGCAACGTATTCCCATCACCAGTAATGCCATCATTGAGAAAAAACTTGGTTAGTAACATTTATTCATTTTTCTTCTATCACTTTTGAAAAATTATTTTGCACTTTTACATTGTTGTATATTATTTTATTTCATTTTATGGTGTTGACAAATCCATAGGGGTTGTACATAACACTATACATCTCCTTTCCATATTGTCAGAAAGTAATAGAATTCTTGAAAAACCTTTGCATATATTATTTATGTTTAGGTTTGCGATAATTCATACAATTTTCGTATAATAATTCTTAGTATAGTATTACTAATAAAGAATGTTTATTTTTATAGGTAGTTCTGGTATTATTTGTACAGAAGATTTAATCCATGAAATATTCACAGTTGGATCAAAGTTTAAATATGCAAGCAATTTCTTATGGCCATTCAAGGTAAAACTCCAAATTCCATTTCCCACGACATAGGCATGGTTGTAGAAATCTTCATTATTCTATCAATCTCCTACTATGTCGTAAAGTAATATGAGTTTCTCTTCATGACGCGCATGTACTATTGCGTTTCTTTGTCGAACTCAAACAATTAGAACAATGTGCTTCAATAATTAAACAATATAATAATCTTGGTCTGTTCATAGCTCAACACACCAAATGGTGGATGGCGCAAAAAGACTAACCATTATGTTGAAGGTGGAGATTTTGGAAACCGAGAAGATAAAATCAATGAACTTCTCAGGAGAATGGTTTAAATTTATAAAAATCTGGATAAATAAATGTTTAAATACAAGACATTATTTTCTGCTATTTTTTATTCTTGCATTCAAAAAAATATAATTCCATTCCCTTTACTTAAGTTCTCTAGTATCAGCGAACAAATTATTTTATAAGTTTCGCTAAACATCAAGTAATTTGTTACAATGCGTATTAATATATAGTACGCCAACCACACAATATTGCGGAATTTTTTTTCTGTACATGCACATGTTTTACTCATTGATATTTATTTATAAATTAAAAATTTCAGTTTTGTTAGATCTTCACTTTTTCGTAAAGTGTATATGACGAATGTTCAATTAAAATATACTATTTTACGAAAATGTATAAGATTTCTATTTTCTTTAACTGCTCATTCTTCAGGGACAAGCAAGGCCGGCATTCAGACTTTTAACGGCTAATATTTAACCAGTGAATAATGTGTTAAGAAACGTGCGTGTAAATATATGTACATCATTTTTAATCTACGTGTTCTTACGTATATTATCATATGCAGGCATGTATATGACCAAATGTTTTCTGTTCAATACGGATATAATCGATAATGGATTATGTATCTGCAATGTAATATGAGAACGTTTTTTATTTGAATGCGAAATATACCACGTTGTAGACGCATGCGTCACAAGTATTATATCGAATTGCAATGTGTATTCTACGACGATGTCAGAATGGTGCATAAAGGTGAGGTTACGAGTTCGAACCTTGCTGTAGGAAGTTTAGATCAAATATTTTTTTTCCGCAAGAAGATATTATTTTTCATGTAGAAATAAAATTTTTAATAAATTTGGGTAAGTACATTACGTAAAACATGTATAATTCTAAAATTATAAAAATTACATGTGCACGCTTTCTCATATATACGTAATTCACACTTAACCTTATCTTTCCATTAGAACATAAATTTTTAGAATTAACTGAATGTAAATTCTGAATTTACACAATAATCGAATAAATCTTCGGTTCACTCTTAATCAATCTTTTTCCGTATATCTCTTTTTACAAAAGTGATGACAGGTAGATGATTTTGAACCGAATTTAGGCACCTTGTGCCTTTGACCACATGTTCTTATGATCGAATCCTATAGATATAAATTTTTTTTTATTGAAGCTAATAATATTTTTTCTCTTGTAAAATAGTAAAATATAATTCCATTTTTAAACTGATTGATGTTTTTCATTCCTTTTTTAGTTATATATCAATAAATACTAATCATATTAAGATTGAAAAAAAATAGTATTTTGTGTTTGTTTAAATTACAGTAATAATGAACAAAGAAACTGAAAAGTCTAAAGATATTTCTTCTGACAATGTGGACTTATCTAATAAGTCGAAAATGTCATTACCTGGAAATACTAAAATGCTTATTCTTTCTCCTAAAATGTTACAAAAAATTGGAATTAATGATACTATAATAAAAGGTAAGTTAATTAATTAAAACACTGTTTAAATATAATTAACTTCAATTAAGTTTTTATGTAAAACATATATTAAATTTTATTTCAAATATATTACAGAGGGAAGTATTACATCTGCTGTCGGGCTTGTAAGAAAAGATGATACACTGAAAAATATTATGTCCAAAGAGCATGAGGATTATAAGGATTCCAAGTTATTTGATAATTCCATAAACTCAGAACATATTATAAAACCAATAGATGTTAAAGATAATGATTTCCACAGAAATGCAACAAAAGTGCCTAGAATTAATAGAGATAATGAAAAATTAATGTCTAAAGTAAATTATATGAAACCGATGAAAAGTAACTTTCATGTTATAGAAAAGGAGGAAGATAATAATAAAATAGTTAACATAGAAGATATTCAAACTACCTCCAGTGATATACCAAAGCCTCGAGAAGTATGCATAAGAACTGATCAATGTAGCAATGGAAAAAGTTTGAATGAGAATGTAGAGTGTCAAGGGGACATAGACAGTAAATACAAAATTAATGAAAATTTACTTGGTAGATCTAAACGAGTTCGTAAGTTAACTAAATTTGATGATTATATTACTTCTTACAAACAAGAGATTGCCAATTTAGATCAAAAGAAAAAGAGTACACCCAGTAAAGAGAAAAAACAGTCAATAAATGTTAATATTTTGCCAGATGTAACTGAAGTAAAAATTACAATTAATCCTAAAAGTAAGAAAAATGAAAATATAAATAATTCTATCACACCAGCTTTAACCAGGAATTCACTGCCTTTATACTTGAGTAATGTTCCTGAGCATCATCCCAATATTAAAAATAATACAGATAATTCTACAGAGGACTTAAATGACAATTGTACGAAAGCTGAAGTTCAAAAAATGTTTGGAATGAATGACAGAGCTAATAGTGAAGAGCTTGAAGCATCTATGAATACTTCTTTACTTGAGAATACAAGACAAACTAATAAAGAAATAAACTTAAAGCTAGACCAAATAGAAGATTTAAGTGATAAAAGCACAACTTTATTAAATTCTGAGAATGTAAAAGCCATTGGTAACAATTCCACTAAGAATGGACATAATCGAATAACCAATTCAGTAATTCCAACAAACCAAAATTCTAATAGTCAAACTCCTTTAACTTCGCCATCAGTAAGAAAAAGAGGAAGGCCAAGAAGATCTTGTTCAGTACAACAAATTCCAGGCACCTTGAATAATTCAGAAGAAAATTTGGAAGTACTAAACAATCTGACCATTGCGGAAACAGTTGCATCTAATAAGAGACATGATGAGAAGTCACATAATATTAGTACCATTAACGACTTAAGTGATAGTAGTAGTATCGAAAGTAACACTTCAAATTTGTCTATTCATAGAAAAAGAGGTAGGCCACCAGCTTCTGGTAGGAGTACAGGTAGAGGTAGAGGCAGAGGCAGAGGTAGAGGTAGAGGTAGAGGTAGAGGTAGAGGTAGAGGTAATGGTAGAGGGAGAGGCAGAGGTAGAGGCAAAAGTAAAGATACAGACAGAGACTCTTCATTAGAAGAATACATACCAAAATTAGAGGGACCAATACCTTCAGACAACTCAAAATTAGAATCTTCTGCAGTATTGGATACTTCTCATACATCTGAAGTAGGTTTTTGGAAATTCCAGTAATATAATTCATTTTATAATTTGTTTCTAATTGTACATTTATAATTTAGATGGATGTAGTATGTGGTAAATGTATGGAAAAAATGCCAAGAAAACAATGGGATTTGCACAGTTTGATTAAACATAATAACATGTCTTGGATACAGGGCGATGAACCTTTGGTAAATATAATACCAAGCTAACAATAATTATTCTTTTAATTTTATATTGAATTTATTAAGAAATATGTTACTTTAGGATTTCGATAATGACATTAAATTATGTAGAAGAGTACTAATGGTTGCAATTAAGAAAAAGAAGGGCAAGTTGACTTGTGAGAAATGTGGTGCTATTAAGAGAAGCGCAAATGGTTTCCTATCTCATGTACAGTTTTGCGGAAAGTCTGAAGCAGTATGTAATTCACATATTTTTACTAATTTATAAAATTAAAAGTACAATATAAAACCATATTATTTTGTAACATAGGAAAGACAAGCTCTAATGGTGACATGCCCTATTTGTGGTGCTATTATGATGCCATCTTCTATGGAGATACATGAGCGAACACATAAGCAGGTAGAACAAAGTAGAATAAAAGAACTTGAATTATTTTCGGCAGATACTGAAAAAGTGAAACGCAAAGCTGCAGAGAAGTGAGTTTCAGGTAATCAATATTTAATAAAAAAAGCTCTAATATATCTTTTTCAATTTCAGAGCGGTGTCAAAAATTTCGGAATTTACTGAACTTGTTAAAGATAATCCACCTACTGAGAAGAAATTGAAACTCGAATCTTCGCTTTTGGTAAGTTTCTGTTTAGAGTATTTTTTTAACAAGAATTTATCGAACTTATATTTATTAATTCATTATTATAGAAACGTTTAATAAAAACACCTGAACAAAAAAAGTCTGTACCAGGTGTATGGAAAGGTATATGGAAAAAAGAACTAAATTCACAGGGAACAATATCTTGCCATCAAGTTTGTTGCGATTTCAAAACTTCATCATTCGATGATATGTGTAAACATTTTTCTACTTGTAATTTCGTTCCTGAAGAGGTATAATTTACTATAATAGCAATATAAATTATTCTTCTAATATTCCTTGAAAATACTAGATTGTATTTTTTTCCCACAGTCTTATGTATGTAAGATATGTAAATTTTCAAGCACTTCTCATCAAGAAATAGTAACACATGTAACAGAAGTGCATAAGACTGTAGAAGAAGCTGATAAATCTTCAGACTTTGAAGAAGAAAGTTATAATTTAGATGAAAGTATGACTTAATCCTACTACTAAAAAGAGCCTAAGTAAATTAAGTTTCATTAACGATTCTTGTTTTTAGGATTATCGTACAAGTTCTTGGAACAAACATATAAAATTCACTGGACAGAACCATACTTTCCAGCTATACTTTGGACTATGGAATTGTAAATATTTATATTTTACATGATAATCCGCAACCTTATAAAAACACAGATTTAATCAATTATATCATGCTTTTTACAGTGAACAAAAAAATTACGAACTTCATTTATATCAAGATCATACTCCTAATGAATTTATACTTTTAAAAAATGCTGATGCTACTAAATATTTGCCACAATTAGAAGTGTCCATGAGAACAAAGACAGAAAGTACAAAATCTGATAAATTGTCTGATAAAGAAATTTCATGGAAACAATTGAAAAGGTTCGAAGCTGATTTGGATGAAGGTAATTATGAATAATTATAATTTCTTGACACTAAAAAAAATGTACGTATTTTCAACCAGAATATTTTTTCAGGAGTTGCTACGTTTTTTACGGGTGGCCCAGTTTGGGCAATAGCATGGTTACCTATTCCTTCACCAATGTACTCTAAAAAATCAATCCAATATATTGCTCTCAGTACTCATCCATGCATGGAAAGTGAATATGCCGTAGGAAAACCATATACTGGAACTAATATAATACAAATTTGGAATGTAGGACATTTAGATCATGAGTAAGTAATAGCCTTATAAGAAAAGTAGCATGTGTAACTATATTTGATATTTTGACCCTTTAAAACTTTTAGAACTCATAATATGACCGTACCTGCTTTATCATATGCTCTTGCACATAATGCTGGTACTGTATGGTGCTTAGAATGGTGTCCATCTGGATGCTATCAAGATGAAAATCTAAACAATTATAAGCGAGAAGACAAAACACAATCTAATCTTAAGCGAATGGGTATGCTTGCAGCAGCGTGTTCAGATAGTACCGTACGCATTTATTCGTTACCCTTTCCAGAGGAACTTAAATTTAAGAAAACTGAGGATAACACGTAAGCTCGTACAAACTTTGTTACACTTTTTTAAATAATTACATTACTCGTTATTAATAATATTTACTACAGATGGCCTATATATCATACTGATCCTGTAATCATATTAGTTGTAAATATACCAATGTACGATAACAATAATCAGAATTGGCAATGTACCAAGATATCATGGAGCAAAGAACATGGGCATAAGTAAAATTTCTTAATTGTATTCCCTTTGTCTTCTTATTGTTAGTTTTATATTTACAATTTTATTATACTAATATGTTTCTTTTTAGTACAATTGCTGCTGGTTTTTCAAATGGATATATTGCATTATGGGATCTTACATACAATTCACCATTATCAATGCAAAAAAGACAGAACACATACTTTATAAATTCATTTCAACATTTTTTTGCGCATGGTAATGCTGTAAGTAGTAAGTATATTTATTTTTTAATCACGAAATATACATGTATATATAAAATACAATAAAAATTAAAAATACATACTTAATAAATCATTCTTGCAGTGCTAGCATTGGTTCCATTCAATGGAACAAGATTTCTAGCTTCAGGTGGTTTAGATAGAGTATATAAGTTTTGGAATTTAGAAGATACAAGTACTCCTCAGAACTCTACACAAAAGGGCATTATAGCAGATGGTGCGTGGTTGACACATTGGCCATGTGCTGTCATTAGTTTTGATGATGCACTTGGGTAAATATTATCATTAAAAAACTGTTCTCATTATATACTGGAATTTATTAATAATTCCACTGTTATTGCAGATACAAACATACAAACTCATATTTAATTCCATTAAGAGACAAGGAATCCAGGTTTTATCCTATTCTAGCAACAAATTCTCCTACTTATGTAAGCAAACATTTAAAGTATTATACATTACTTTATTTCATCACTTTAAATATCAAACTATAACATAAATATTATGAATTTCTTAGACTTTATCAGTTTCTGATTATGGTAATAGTATTGCACATGGTACATTAGCAGGAGAGATAGTGACACTCTTTCCTCATCAACTTTTACATGCTAAAGATATTGATAAGGCATTGCAAAAGAAAAAGAAGGTAATTTATTAATACGTATACACCTGACTCTTGATTTATGCGAAAATCCATTCCACATGGATTCGTTTTACGCGAATGAAAATCGCGTAGAGTCAATTGTTACCGCGTAAATCGAGGATCAGGTGTAATATTTTTAAATTACTGATATATCAACTAATTCTAAATACTGGTTTTAGTTAAGTTCGTATATCAAAATTGTGGATTTCATAAAAACAGAAAATGAGGTTAAGGAAAATAAAAAAAATTCGAAAGATTATCATTATATGCCTGAAAGTTATAAAGAATGCGCGGATTGTTTTGGTGTAATATATTGCGACAAATTACAAGTAAGTTATAGTTTTCCAATTAATATTTAATGTTGAAATTTCCCTAAATATTTCATAATATATCAATTGTATTTCATATTGTCATAAAAGGATACTGAACGTCGCTCGCCACCGCAGTCGCTATTCGCAGAAAAATTAACTGCGATTCCGGTGGAGCAATATCCATTTATGTCAGTAAATAGGGTAAATATTAGCTTTCCTTATCCCAATATTACAACTTTACTCGATGTTAATATTGAATAATAAATTGTAGATATCGTGGAACCCAAACGCATGGAGTTATTTGTGGTTAGTAGCTGGGTATCAAAATGGTATGGTAAGACTGTTAAGCTTTCAATACATGTCTGCATTGCGTGAATTGAAGACATGGTTACCTCAACATGCGGAACAAATGCTAAAAAAAACAAACAATGATACAAAAGAAAGTTCTTAGTATATAAAATAATAAATATAAGTTATGATTTATTTAAAATTAAATATAATAAAATTAATGATGACTGCTTGTTCTCAATTCGTAATAAATTATTTTTTATAATTTTATATGCATTAGGCTATTTTGTAAAGTTAAAGTACTAATGATGAAATTTCATTAAATATATATTTAAGCAGTTTAGATCATTTAAACAGAATAATATGTTTTGTAGAATATGTATGCATTTGTATAATTAAGAATACTTAAAATACTGTACTAAAACAATAGTCATTATTACAAATTTATATTAATAAATAAAAATTGCGGCAATTCTGAATTCAATACGAATGCTTATAATCTATTTATATTCTAATGCAAATAGTTACAACTGCCATGAAAATGAATTCGTTAAGTCTAATGATAAAATTATTTAAAAAGTATTCTTAAATTGATATTATATGAAACACTTA